TCTATCTATCTATCTATCTATCTATCTATCTATCTATCTATCTATCTCTGCAGAAGACCTGGTACAGACCCATACAGGCCTAGTGCTTGCTGCTTTCTTCTCTGTGAGCCCAGATATGCCCTGCTTAGTTGATTCAGTAGGCCGAGTTCTTCTGGCTGACACAGTCTATAATTCAGATGCTAGAAGATTGCAGGGAATGACTCCTGCTGCCATGTGAAAACCATGGAATTCTTCACCCTCTCCTAGCCCCACACTGCAAGGCATCTTCTGTGCAGCTGTGTCCGTAGAATCTTGCAGAGGAGCCAGCAGGAAAGCCTTTTGAAGGGACGTCAGTAAAATGATTTCTTGTTTAGGTTAGGGTCAGTGTGGAACACACCTTCTCAATATTCATGCGCTGTAATATTCTCAGCAAACATCCCAAGGTGTAGACATTATGGGGCAAACTAAATGCTCTTGAGATTGGGAGTGGGGCACTCTGGTTTGGTTTTGCCTAGTAGACACCTGAATCCTGATTCTCTTAATCAGTGTAGAGAAGTTTAAAATTTTCTCTGAAATGTCTGTAATTTTAATCTACGAAGCAGACTGGTAAATAGAGGCAAAGCATACAGCTTACATACATGCAGAAGCATGAGAGCTGTAGAGAAAATCCGAGACTCCAAGGCAAGGCTACATGGTTGAAGGTTAAATAGCATGTTAGGTTACAGAGATAGCCTCCAGGCTTCTGTGGGTGGGGCCGGGGGAGATGATGTCACATCATGCAAGGCTGAAGAGAGCAAGCAGCTCCATTCTGGAGATCAGGTCACACCCCCAGCAGCCTTCTGAGGAACCTGTGATGTCCTGTAAGTCTTTTAGGCAGCTCTAGATAAGGCCAGTCAGGGGGAGCCCCGGGGAAGCATGTGCACTATTGTTGCTGACTTTACACATCTGGATCTCCCCACAAGGACAGATTTTAGAGCTCTTCTTTTTTCTTTTTCTTTTCTTTTTTTAAAAGGTTTTTCAAGACAGGGTTTCTCTGTGTAGCCCTGGCTGTCCTGGAACTCACTCTGTAGACCAGGTTGACCTTGAACTCAGAAATCCGCCTGCCTCTGCCTCCCAAGTGCTGGGATTAAAGGCATGCGCCACCACTGCCCGGCTTTTAGAGCTCTTCTTATGTGGAAGGTCCTTGAATAGCTACCTCAGAACATAATAAAAATGCACATTTTGGGGTGGGTGATTTTGAGTTCCCTTACCAGATAGAGCTAATGAAGGGACAAAGGGATTGGGGACAGTTAGACCCACCTGTCTGACATGAGCTTAAGGCACTAGGAACACTTTGCACTTTGTTTGCTTCTACAACATTTCAAGCAGAAGAGCAGGCTCTCATACCCAACTTCTCCTTACTGAGGTCTAGGTGACAATCTTCAGCCATTGCTCCAGGAGCAGCTGGGGCCCTGTCTGTTGTCTAGTGTTCATTTCTCATTTCAGCTAAGAAGGCTTCTTGTTTCAGTGCTGACATTGCTAAATCCGCTTTGCTTAGAAACCCACTTGAAGTAGGGTATTCTGGTCAGACTCTTCATCAACCATATCTAATATGCGTTCTGCAGGCTTCAAAAAAATCAGTAATAAGTTTGTTGTGCAGAATTAGCTCATTTTCATTTTCTGTGCTCTCAGAATCCTGTTTGCAGGCTCCCACTGGAAGACATCATTTTCCCACTGGGTAGAAAAGAAAGAGACCTTTACTACCTTGTGTAACCACATTGAACAGCCCCAGTCAGTGAGTTACACACACATCTAATGTTTCCTAAACCAATGTTTACTTTAATTAAGCCAGAAAGACTTCTGCCATCTGATTTTGGTGTGGAAATCTCTGTTTTCTTCTTGTCTATTCTAGTGGGAGGCTGGATCTTTTCCAATCCCGATGGCGTGTGCACAGCAGGAAATACCAATTACCAGTATGCCACGCCTTTGCCTCTGCCTGCTCCCCACACACACCATGGCTGTGAGCACTACCCTGGCCTCCGAGGACATCGGCAGGCTCCCTACCCTTCTACCTACATGCATAGAAACCATTCTCCCTCAGGTATGTAGTTCTACTAATTAAACCCTTGGGCATGGCAGTGGTGGGTACATAGCTGGTAAAAGAAGTACCTGAAGATAGAGTTCTTTTCATCTTTTCACACACACACACA